ACATCGCCAATGTCACCGTCAGATCGGTCGCATACGTTGCTGCGGGGCAGAACATTTCCCAAGCGGAGGTCGCCTCCACGTGTAAAGCATCGGTGCAAGCCAGTGTCGACCTGTGCCGGGTGACCATGAACATCTCGACGTCGGATCGCAGCCATCTCTGGGCTGAAGCCTGGCTGCCACGAAATTATACCGGTCGCTTCGTGAGCACGGGGAATGGAGGTCTAGCCGGATGTGAGTGCCGCGCCCAATTTTGGGCTGTGGTCTCCCCGTAGATCGTTCACTTATGAAGGAATTTGCTGATTCCCATATTAGGTGTTCAAGAAACGGACCTCAACTTTGCAGCCAACTTCGGTTTCGCCACCGTGGGCACAAACGCTGGACATGACGGAGACACGGCCAAATACTTTCTCAACAACTCGGAAGTTTTGGCCGACTTTGCCTATCGCTCAGTGCACGAAGGTACCGTGGTGGGTAAGCAACTAACTCAATTGTTTTATGATGAGGGGTACAACTACTCCTACTACCTGGGTTGCTCCACCGGAGGCCGCCAAGGTTACCAACAGGTCCAACGGTTCCCCGACGACTATGACGGAGTGATCGCGGGCTCCGCGGCAATGAACTTCATCAACCTAATCTCCTGGGGCGCCTTCTTGTGGAAGGCGACGGGGTTAGCCGATGATCCAGACTTCATCTCTTCAGATCTGTGGTCCGTGATCCACCAGGAGATTGTTCGTCAGTGCGACCCGGTCGATGGAGCTTTGGATGGGATCATCGAAGACCCTGATTTCTGCGCTCCGGTCATCGAGCGGTTGATTTGCGACGGGACTACCAACAGCACCTCTTGTATCACCGGAGCGCAGGCAGCTAAGGTCAACCGGGCCTTGAGTGATTTCTATGGCCCCGACGGGACGGTGTACTACCCGCGCCTGAACTACGGGGGTGAGGCCGACGCGGCTTACCTTTACTTCACGGGGTCGATGTACAGCCGGACCGAGGAATGGTATAAATATGTGGTCTATAACGACACCACCTGGAACTCCAGCCAATGGACGTTGGAGAGTGCGAAGCTGGCCCTGGAGCAGAATCCGTTCAACATCCAGGCGTTTGATCCCAACATCACGGCCTTCCGGGACCGGGGTGGCAAGCTGCTGTCCTACCATGGCACGCAGGATCCCATCATCAGCTCTACGGACAGCAAGCTCTACTACCGACGGGTAGCGAATGCCCTGAATGCCGCGCCGTCCGAGCTAGATGAGTTCTATCGGTTCTTCCAGATCTCTGGCATGGGCCACTGCGGCGATGGCACGGGAGCATCGTATATTGGCCAGGGATATGGCACGTACACCTCCAAGGCGCCCCAAGTCAACCTGCTGCGCACGATGGTGGACTGGGTGGAAAACGGGAAGGCGCCAGAGTATATGCCGGGCAACAAGCTCGATGCGAATGGATCGATCGAGTACATGCGCAGGCACTGCCGGTATCCGAAGCATAACGTTCACACGGGGCCGGGGAACTACACCGATCCTAACTCCTGGACTTGTGTATAATTAGCGGTGGTTCTCGGTTGGGTGACAAGTAGTTGAAACCTTTCTCAAATGCCATGTCGAATATCGCTTCTAGCTTCCTTCTATCAAGTAAATTGATATATAGAGATGCGCTGATCGCAGATAATCCACCATACATTCCGGATCATAGTAGTTGAGAGAGATGCCACCATAACAGTATGACACTGGCATCAAAGACAGACGAGCAGATCCAGAAAAGGCAGGTGCGACCGATGCGGAAGGAACGAACGGGATGCCGACTGTTGTTGACGCCTGAGGCCACAACTATAGAAAATGCTGCTGCCTGGACGAGACACAGCGAGTTACGGAGATCACGTGTAAGTGGAGCTTGTGGCTCTGGTCGGACTCGGACCGAGATCCCGCTGATTCAGCAAGCCAAGACCGCCAATCGGTAAATCCTCTCCCCGCTCAAGCTTCCATGCAGAAACACCCGATGCAAATCATCATCTCCGTTTCAGCTCTTTAGCTATGGCCGTCACTATCAACGAAGAAGTATGCTTTTCCAATGCCACCAGGAGACTTCGGAATAATATTATCGGCACAAAAGGGCTTCCGGAAGGTAGCAGCCAAGCATCAATGTCAATAGCTGCCGACATTCCACCACATGAGACGCAATGCACGTCTGACATTTGGGTTCGGCCAAGCCACGTCTGATATTGCTTGTGTGCAAAGCTTGGCTTCACAGCTGGCAATGAGCAATAGATACTACCGCTATCTCGTCTCTCATAGGATGTCCTGTCTACCTTTTGCATGCATGATTCCGTACGGTTCAACAAAACAGTGGCTTGTCAGGCACCACGGCTAGTTATTCACTTTTCTTTTGTTCGTCTCATCCACCTCCTTCAGGGACTATTTACAGGGTCGATAGTATAAATAGATTTCGACTAAGACTAGTACCGAGTACTCCATACCGATTACCAAAAATATCGCTATTGAGTCCCTAGTTTTACCCTTGTAGCTTTGCATTTCTCCATCCTTGTCGGCAATTCATCCATCCAGGATTTAGTCGAGTCATTCCTCTTCATGGTGGTGAACACCCACTGGAGGCAATATATATATCCGCCATCCCTGCTGAACAGCCACACTGGGTGGATGTATCGAGACATCCACCCCAAAAATAGCAGCGGAATCCTGTACAAATTTTGTACAATCAATTTTGCCTGTTAATTGAGCCTACGATTTCCAATTCCTGTGCTCTAATTCTACCTATCTGAGACCTGGTTATGAATGCGCGGTGCTAAGTGTCAAATGTCGGAATATGCGTGAGACATGGATGGCCACGGAGCGCCACGCCCAAGGGTGATCCGCCCGCGTGTGGAGCCAGCCAGTCGAACGCTGGGAACGTTGCGATTCAGTTACCAATTACTACACTACTAGTCGGACAGGGAGTCCGTAATCCACCACTGCAGTGGTGCCTCAGGCGAGAGGATGAGCCCTGGAAGACTATTTACCCCCTTCGCTTGGAAATTGGACCGTTGCTCCATAATAATCGTATTGCCAAGATAACATTTTAATTCTCTACCTCGAGAGGAGGGTCGGACGATTGAATATATAAGAAGAAGAAGGGGAACACCAAGTGAGAAGTACAATTTTCCCCTTCGACACCGAAACACCCAGGTTCAACATTGAAGTCAGCCTGATGGGAGCCTACCAGTCCGCCGTTTGGCCGAGCTGGTTGCTGCCTGGCACATGAGTGGTGATTGGCCTAAGAGCTTGACACTGACCCCCTTTCAATTCCCCCTTTGGTGCTCGCTCCTCAAGTCAGAGACGACGATACTAACCACCCGAGACGAGGAAGGTGATCCTGGCTCAGATGGTGAAACTGGCGTTGCCTTGGGACCTGTCACTTTGGTTACCGATAATCTTACAGCCTTACGTGGAAAACGAGTCAGCGCAACTGCATGATGCTGATGATGATTCATTCTATCGCGCGCGCGAGAGAGCAATTGCTCAAAGAGTTTTCTCAACGACGACAATCATGTCCTCATTCTCTTTAGCTTCTGCTCTGTCGGCTTGACTCCTTTTTTTTTTGCCGTTTCTCTGTTTCTTTCCTCTCAATTTCCCCCCTTCTCAATCCAGTCAGTCCATTGAACTTACTTGAATGGGAACTTGCCGGAAATGGAATTCAGCGTGGCCGAAAATCTCCACTGTGGGTCACGCGATGTTCGCTGGCCCCAACGGCAGCCAATCATGACAGGAAACTACCTCGCTTGCTCGGAAAATCGGCCGGACCGGGGTCCACCGGCTGCGCGTCTTTTCGGGGGAACCTCTGCTTCTTTCGCCTTGTTCACCTTCATTTCCACCTGCACCCACGCTTGCTGCTGCTCGTCTTTCCATCCGAACTCGCATATTCGCATGGCTGCTCGGTCTTAGCTACCATAGTCGCTCGGACTAAATCGCCGCTAGTAGGCATCCTCATTCTTGGGTCCAATAGGATCCCCCCGGCCTTCGTCATCCACTGGATCCGATCCGGGAACCATGACAGTCCGCCGAATTTTCTCGACGCCCACCTTCAACGCCCACCCATCACATCATCCTGTCTGCCCCCTCCTCCGTCCTCGTCGTCGCAATCGTTTTCCACCGTCAACGCGGCCACACCCTTTGCCTCTTCCTGCCCAAGAGCGCTATGTTGGAACCCTTTCTGTATTCTCCGTCGAGTCCGAGGGATCAGGGTCATGAGCCCGTATAAATATATCCTGTCGACCATGGGTACCCGTTGATGGAGGTGGTCCCCCGGATAAGGATTTTTACTCCCGGTGGAGCCAGGCTGCTGACGACAAGAGATCTTAAACATCCGCTACCGACAAGTCAGGACTGTCGCTGGCCATTTCCAGTTCCTGTGCACCGCCCGGCGTGGCTATAATGCTGGTCTGCATTGTTCCTGGCGGGCCAAAAAGGAAAATTATCCTGCTCCCACTGCGACGGACAAGCATCATCTGGCTACTATTCTGGTATCGCCCCCCCGGTCCGCCAGATATATCGCACACTGTAAACATGCATCCTCCGCCGGATTATCGCCACTACTTTCCAAGGCTTAGACTTTCATCCCCCGCCATCTCGTCCTCTTATTTGCCCTGTCCCGTAGCTGCTTCGTTCCCCCCTATATATAGTTCTTGGGCACGTATCCAATGGTCCATGGGTGCTCCACTCCTCTAGCAGTTGGTTTATCTACGCCCTAGCCCAATTGACGGTTGCGTGGTACCGTTGTTGTCCCCAGCCCATTTTTTTCCCCCTAGGCCCTCTTTTTCTTCCCTCCTTTGGGGGGCTCCTGTTTATTTTTGTGCCCTTTTTAATTTTGCAGTGTTATTTTTGGGATCCTTCTTTGCCCAGCCCCAGAACCTCCCTAGAACCCTCGTTATACTTTTACCCTTTCCTTGTTTGCCTCAAGAAGACCACCCGTCGCAACTTCCGGCAATCCCATCTTCAACCTTCAAGATGGGTACGCCGACAAACCCATACTCGGCCCATTCGCCGCGGGAAAGCGAAAGCAGCTATTTCTCCCACACGTCTCCCCCCCATGGTGTGAGTCTGTCCCGTCAAGCTGGCCGCCCGTTCAATACCTAATCGTGATAGCTCCAAACTTACCACTCCGAGCAACATGAGCACGACGAGCAGGAACAGTCTCTGCTGGAGCGCAACAATTCCAGTCACTACGGCACGCCCTTCGATGATCCTGCCGTGTCGACAGACTCCATCCGTCGCTACACTCTGCACGACGACGGTCCAGCGGTCTTCGCCGCGCCCCCTTACCAAGAATCCGAAGCCGCTTCCGAAAACACCTTCCGTGCCCGGAGCAATGGCGACAAGGCTTCCCGTGAAGGGAGTCGCGCGGGTGCCCTGCGCCGTTACGGAACGAGAAAGATCAACCTGGTGCAAGGTTCCGTCCTGAGTATCGACTACCCGGTGCCGAGTGCCATTCAGAACGCCATCCAGCCCCAATACCGGGATGCGGAGGAGGCCTTCTCCGAAGAATTCACACACATGAGATGTAGGTGCCATGCGACTAGGCGGAGATGGCCAATTGTCCGGCTGACCAAAGCATCGCAGACACGGCCGCCACTTGTGACCCCGACGAGTTCACTCTGCGCAACGGTTACAATCTCCGGCCGGCTATCTATAACCGGCATACCGAGTTGCTGATCGCCATCACCTACTACAACGAAGATAAGGTCTTGACCGCGCGTACCCTTCACGGTGTCATGCAGAACATCCGTGACATTGTCAACTTGAAGAAATCCGAGTTCTGGAACAAGGGTGGCCCTGCTTGGCAGAAGATCGTGGTCTGTTTGGTTTTCGATGGTATTGAGCCATGCGACAAAAACACACTGGATGTGTTGGCGACGATTGGTATCTACCAGGATGGAGTCATGAAGAAGGACGTTGACGGGCGGGAAACCGTCGCCCACGTTGTAAGTTTTGCTTCTTTCCACTTTCCTCCGCTGCCGCTGTGCAGACCGCCTTTGGACCAGCGGGGATCGGCACCACAAGGAGTCCGATTGTGTACTGACCATCGCAGTTTGAATATACTACCCAATTGTCCGTCACTCCGACGCAGCAGTTGATTCGGCCCCAGGGCAATGAGTCGACCAACTTCCCCCCGGTGCAGATGATCTTCTGTCTCAAGCAGAAGAATAGCAAGAAGATCAACTCCCACCGTTGGCTGTTCAACGCCTTCAGTCGTATCTTGAACCCGGAAGTCGTCATTCTGTTGGATGCCGGTACCAAACCTGGTCATAAATCTCTGCTTGCTCTCTGGGAGGCCTTCTACAATGACAAGACACTTGGTGGAGCCTGTGGTGAGATCCATGCAATGCTGGGACAGGGCTGGCGCAAGGTCGTCAATCCGCTAGTCGCTGCGCAGAACTTCGAGTACAAGATCTCTAATATTCTCGATAAACCCCTGGAAAGTGCATTCGGTTACGTCAGTGTCTTGCCTGGTGCATTCTCTGCCTATCGGTATCGTGCTATCATGGGCCGTCCGCTGGAGCAATACTTCCACGGAGACCATACGTTATCAAAGCGTCTTGGAAAGAAGGGTATTGACGGCATGAATATCTTCAAGAAGAACATGTTCTTGGCCGAGGATCGTATTCTCTGCTTCGAATTGGTGGCCAAGGCTGGCTTCAAGTGGCATCTCAGTTACGTCAAGGCGTCCAAGGGTGAGACCGATGTTCCGGAAGGCGTGGCTGAATTCATCAGTCAAAGACGTCGTTGGCTGAACGGTTCTTTTGCCGCTGGTCTGTATTCCATCATGCATTTCGGTCGTATCTACCGCAGTGGTCACAGTATCATTCGCATGTTCTTCCTGCACATTCAGATGATCTACAACGTGTGTCAACTGATCATGACCTGGTTCTCCCTTGCTTCTTACTGGCTCACTAGTTCCGTCATCATGGATCTGGTGGGTACGCCGTCTACGAGTAACAAGAACAAGGGTTGGCCATGGGGCAACGATGCGTCGCCCATTGTCAACAACTTCGTCAAATACGGTTATGTCTGGGTTCTTACGCTGCAGTTCATCATGGCTTTGGGTAATCGGCCGAAGGGTGTCAAAATTCCTTACATTCTGTCCTACCTTTACTTCTCCCTCGTCCAGTTGTACGTCCTCATCCTGTCGTTCTACCTGGTCGTGGGTGCCTTCAACGGTGGTATGATGGACTTCAACTTCGACGAAGGCGTTGGCACATTCCTCTCCTCGTTCTTCAGCTCCAGCGGTGGTGGTATCGTCCTGATCGCCTTGGTCTCCACCTACGGAATCTACATCATTGCGAGTGTCCTGTATATGGATCCCTGGCACATCATCACCAGTTCCTGGGCCTACTTCCTGGGTATGACGACCTCGATCAACATCCTGATGGTCTACGCGTTCTGTAACTGGCACGACGTTTCATGGGGTACCAAGGGTTCGGACAAAGCCGAGGCACTGCCTTCCGTGCAAACCAAGAAGGACGACGACAACAAGCAGAACTTCATCGAGGAAATCGACAAGCCGCAAGCTGATATCGACAGTCAGTTCGAGGCAACGGTGAAGCGGGCGTTGTCGCCGTGGATTGAGCCAGAGGAAGAGGGCGGCAAGAGTCTGGACGATGCGTACCGCAACTTCCGTACTGTGCTCGTGTGTCTGTGGGTGTTTAGTAACCTGCTCGTGACGCTGTTGATCACCGCCACTGGAGTAGACAAGATGTGTCTGACGGTACGTTCCCTCCCTGTTCTCTGGTAAAGCTATAACTCGTAACATCATCTAACGAAAGTCCAGAACACGTCCACCACCCGTACATCCTGGTACTTCGAGGTCATTCTGTGGATCACGGCCGGTCTGTCGTTGTTCCGTTTCATTGGCTCGCTGTGGTTCTTGGGCCGGTCGGGTATTCTGTGCTGTGTGTCCCGGCGCTAATTGCGAATGCGTTGGGAAAAGAGAGCGCACCGAGACCTATTTTTCTATATACCTATCCACCTACCTACCTATCCTGCATGATTATGTCGTGTTATCAAGCGCGTGGTTCCATGGGATTGTACATTTATGGACCTGTTTGAGTGTTGTTCTATTTTGTTTCCCCTTCTATGCAATGATAATAATAGAGCGGTTTTGATCTGTCCGTGGACTCGTTGGAATTTAGAATAGCTGAGATGATTGATAAAAGAATGACATGACCAATTGCATACTACCAGTTTACTGTGGGAGCAGAGTATTAATCCCATTCGAAGAAAAGAAACAATAACGCCAATGTAACCACAGAATCACCAGCTGCCAGCAGAACAACCAACCATCCAACCCCAGACCCATCAGCCTACCCAGCCAAAGCTAGAGCCAGCTCCAGCTCCAACTTCAAGCATACTTACCAACCCTACCCAAATCTGCAGAACTTTGTTCCCATAAACCCTCTCACAGGGAACCACAACTACCAACCACCCCATCCGTCATCTTTCTTCCCCAATTCCTTCTTCACAGTCGCACACCCCTCCACATCACCCGCATGAGCCTCGAGAAGCGCCTCCAACGACAGCCTGGTGATATCGCACACCTCCTGAGACGAGATATTGCCCACCTCAATCTGCAAATCAAGACAAGCCTCATGAAAACAATGAAGCTTCGCACACACTACGTCCATCTCGGTCCGAATGTCCTGTGCTTGCTCCCCCAGAGCCATTAGCTTGTCAGCAATATCCTGATATGCCTTGAGGTTCTTCTCATAGACCTTTTCGCCCTGCTTGATGATGTCGAGAGCGGTGTCCACCCAGGGTAGATTCTCGCGAGTACCATCCCAATTTTCGTACTTCTGCTTGGGATTTCCCCACTCATGGAGGTTATCTTCGGGGCAGATGGTCGATTCCGCTCCGGTGGCGGCGGTGGCGGGAGTGGTTGCGGATTCGAGTTGTTCCACCAGGACCTTCAGGTTAGCGAGGAGGTGGGCGGGGATGGTAGGCTTGGTGGTGGTGGTCGAGGTAGTGGTAGTGGTGCGCTTCGCGTCCCGGGTTGCGAGAGTTGGGGAAAGTATAGGACGTTTCTTCTGCGGAGTGGAGCTGGAAGATGGCCAAACAACCGAGGGCGCGGCGGAGGAGGTGGAGGGAGTCATGGCGAAGGGGAACTTGGTTGACGCGGCACGGTTGGTCAGGGCTTTGGAGAGGGAGTCCTTAAAGGTCTCCCGTTTGATATTGATCTTGGTGTCGTCCATCGTTGATGGAGATGATTGGGGTCTTTGAGATAGATGATGATGGTTTAGAAGTTGGGGAGATTGGAAGGAAGGTGTGAGTGGATGGAAGAGGGAGGAAGGTAGAAAGGGGGAGATGAAGGCGTCTTTAAGGTAGGCAGTCAGTGTTATTTGAGTGAAAGAATATTGAAGTTAAGTTGTGGCCGTGGGATTAATTCACTCGTTCTACTTCACTTGATGGAGAGTGTTTTGTAGATGCTGGGAATGTTTGCAATAGTCATGCTTGATGGCTAATTTGATGGAAGACCAAGTACCCAGTCAAGCAATTGTGGGTATGGTACTATTCGTGTTTGAATTACTGCAGTTAGATTCTCTCTCGGTCAATGTATACTACTACTCTACTGGAAAATGCCAGCTTGAGTTGCATGTGTTGGAGGTGGTGGTAGATGAGTAGTTATGGTGTGTAGTGAAAAGAAATCTAGTAAATCGTTGTTGCTTTGGCATATACTGTAGCGGCCATGTGTCGCCCAGGAGAAACTGTCCTTTACTAGTTGTATGAAAATGGGTGTTCAGGTAAGCTCGGGCTTCCGTTATTTAGAGACAGCGATTACTTCTTAGTCTCTGATGGTCTTTGGCGTCGGGCGCTCGAAAGGTGCAGCAATTAGAAACTACACCCAAACAGAACCATACCTAATTTCAATACTGGGAGCAAATGCCTTAGGCGTTGATATATTTTTATATAATCTGCATGTACACTGCCAGTGGTGATTTCCCAACGCGGGTTGAAGAAGACCCGGTGCTTCCTTCTCTGAATCATGAAAGACCATAATATGTAGTGGTTTTCTTTCTGGCCGATCCTGGTTGTAGCATCAAACCTCTATCAACACTATAATCAACATATCCTTACGACAGAATATTATTTTGCGCGATGGACCTCCCGGTTTATAGTTCAAGCCAGCCTTCGTTATGTGCCCTGCCCGTGGAGCTCATCCAAGCCATTCTTTGCAATCTTCCAGATCTCGAGTCCCTTAAATCGGCCCAATTGACGCATTCTGCGCTATACTTTGCCTTCATTGGCGCTGAAAGCCACATCTTGAAGCAGATATTAGCGCAAAAGATTCCACCGGCGCTCTTCCCAGATGCCTTCTTCGCCTTCGACGCATCCACTGTGGAGGGCGTGTGGACGCAGGATGAAGTGCACTCCATCATCTACCGGCATCGGACCCGCGCAATCTCTTCATCATTCCGTCTAAACCCCCAGTCTGCTTTCAAAATCACTAAATTATATCGCTGGGTCCGATATTTCACCAGGCACTTTCTCAGGCAGGCAATATCCGACCCAATGCAGGGGAGAACCCACCCGCCTATGCCTTTATATCAACCAACATCCTCAGAGAAGTGTCGAGTAGCAAGGGCGCTCTACCGTTTCGAGACCCATCGCCATCTTTTTAGGATGCGTGAGCCGTATGCGAACTATTCCAAGTGTTCACCGGACTTCCTGATAAGTGACCAATGGGGTTACTATTTCCGTCACTTCCCCGCGTGGGAACTTGAGCAGATACTGTCAGTCAGTGAGTATCTCTTTCGGAGTGTGGCCATCTGTGGGTGTCTCTTTCTTCCATTTTCTAGACCGGGTCACACAAGCTCCGAAATCTGATTGTTAAAAAGGTTTGCGGCCATTCGCAGAGAATAGGACTTGGACCACCGAGGGTATCTGGTATTATTCCAGCAATGCCTACCTAATGACAGACCCATCGCCTGTAGGGACTCTAGTGAGTTCTACACAGACCCGTAGAGCGTGTATTGATCTGACCACAGTCAGCTATGCCACGGCCTGCGGTATATTGGGGACCTCGTCACAGCTCAAACATTTGACCAGCATAACCTACTCGCCAACGAATTGTTTGGCAAGCCTTTCATGTCTTCGCTACCCGACATATTCAGGGCTATCTGGGAGTCTCAGAATGTATTCCACGCTTATCCATCACTTACATGCGAAGTCGAGGGGCAAACTATCGATTGGCAAGATACAGGGTATGTCGGATCCGATCCGGGCCCAGCTAAGGCATGGCATACGATTATGGCCCCAACAAACTTGAATGGAGGCGTATCTAGGCAAGTTGGCCATCATTCTATGTGTGAGCTCCGTCGACAGGGCTATGTGTTCTGGGATCAGGTTCGTATCAAGGAATGGGGCCTCAGCAGCAACACCATCGATATCCCTCTTTATTGGCCCAATTGGCAGCAGGAGCTACACCTTAGAACGGCTAGCGCCTTGTGCAGGCGGCCACACTTGTATTATAATGCAGGCGTGGGTAGCTGGTGGTACCCAAGAGAAATAGCCCACCTTCCTGTCGTCCGATTGCCTCCGGGAGAGTAGAGGAGCATTCTTTGGTGGCTGAAGATGAGTCACAGACATACTTCCGCTATAGCGGAGGGCTACAACATGCCTTTCGGTCAGTGAACCTCACAAGCGGATTTAAGGCTCGATGATTGGGTTGGTATGGTAGGATGATTATATAGACATAGATAATGTAGGTACCTTCAGCACCGAAAATTTGACCGGGCATGGCGTTGATGGATATTCATACATGGTATATACCACGGGCCCAAGATGGGAGCGAAGTACAAAATCCGTGTCACTTTATCACTTTAGTTAGTACCGACCAGACGGGTGAAACTTCGCGCCTAGGTTCAAACATAACCCCCCCGAATCTCTACTGTAGGCACTAGGCAGACACGATCCTGGTGGCTGGCACTGCCACCGCGGGACGGACCCTGCGATGCATCTGAGACACGGAATTGCCGCTGTCTTGATTAGAGTTCGTAACCTCCCAATCTTGCCAGACATAAGCCTGTCAATGTGTCAGAGGAACCTTCTAGCCAACGAGGAGACGAAAGGTAGCGATACGCGACCCAAACTGATTGAAGACTAGGCAATATTAGGAATATGCAGGAACGCCATAGGTACTACATGACAAATAGAAGAAACAAAGAATGACTATTGAATGAAGAGTTGTTGGTACGACATGAATATCAAGCGCGGAAGAAGACCTGTCATGTCAGAACGAAACTCCCTTGCAGCAAAGCACCATCTAGAAATTTGGGCTGCAGAGGAATCTTTATGAATGAATTTTTAAAAAATGACAGGGTGCTGATCGTGCCAAGATCGTGTCAAAGTTCGCGAGGACCCTGATCGTGCGGTCTGACAGGCCTTTCGGGCAGTGATCGTCGCAGGATCTGAACCTTGGCTGATCCTGTCATGTATGTTTTCTGTTCATCTAAGATGAGGGTAAACACGTGTGAGGATGAAACACCAGGTATAATGAAAATATGTATCTATAGCCGAGATGAAGAGTTTCAAGAGTTGCATTGCATTCTGGAGATCATCATACGCACACGCATACCCACACCCAAACAAGTTATGCACAGAATAACCGTCGACGATGCCGATCATCCTGTCTGCCTGCTCGTATTAGTCTAGTAAATAGGATCTGCCCCGCAGCGTTTACCTTCGGAGGAAGCTGACATTGGCCAACCCAAAGAAGCAACACGGTGTGAAAGGCACTGTGAGTTCCGTCGCCCACCAATCAAGTGGGGAGAAACTGCTCGCTACGTTGACCTCGATCTAGCAGAGTCTTCTTGGCGCTAAAGCCAACAGAGAGGGTCTGGCAGGAAAAAGCTTGTGTGGCGTAGACAAGTTAAGACACGGGCTAGAAGCCGAACAAAAAGGGGGCCAGCCATTTGACGAGTGGACACTCATTGCTGGAAATACCTCGGAAGCTTCCGAGCCAAGCTTAGGTCAAGCAATGGTTCAGCGTAGGCATCCACGAAATAAGGTTCCGTAAAAGGGAAATGAAGAGTCACAGATACCATGGGACCAAATAGAAAAGAAAAGGCCATCGTCGAGTCTGAGTCTGCCTGGTGATGGTGGTGGAGGGAAGATGACGGGCGGGATTGCGTGGTCAGCCTTATAGGGCGCATGTGTCGCTGCATCGGACTCCGCGGATTCCCTCTCTTTGAACGGGATCGACTGAAACCTGGCTGCCTATTAGGTCCCTGATCCATCTCATCCCATCCTCTTCCTACTACTAGTACTACTGCACTGCTTGTGATAGTCATACTTATCTACACGCCATATCTGCAGATTCCCCCGCCATCTCCCCCCTAGTCATTTAGTCTCTCCTGTTCTGTTCCATTCCCCTCATGAATCTTTCCATTTGACCGACTGCTATCTTGGCAAACCGTCACTCTTTACAGATCCATCCATATTTTCTTTATTTCTTGCTGCGCATCAGTCATTATGCGTACCCATTTCCTGTGCCTTGCGGGCGCCTGGCTGGCCAGCTGTGCTGCCAGTCCAGTTGCCGGTCATCCTGGTGATGCTTCTGTGCCCCAGATGGCTCTTGCGGACTCGCACGCCTCCTTCCCAATAGTGACCGGCCATGAGATCCATATTCCCTGTGCTACAATCCCAGGATCCAAGGAGGATGAGGCCAAGGATCCCTCTAAAGCATATCTGGTACGTGCGCCCGTACTAACGACGGTCGGAAAGGGTCCAAGCATCACTAACCTAGCCATGTAGGCGATGAAACTCCGCACGGAGAGCAATGCTCTATTTGTCAACGATGTCACCGTCTTTCCTAGTTCATTCCCCATGCATTTGCCGGCAACCCGATACCAGGACGCATCCGGTCAGAATCCGGAGCATCTGCTCCTGCAGTACGCCATGGACATTGAATATATGCCCCCTCGTCCGGATGGGTCCCTGGTGCAAGACGTCTACCGCGTGCAACTCAAGTTCTTCGATCTCTCTGGCCACCCTGCCACGACAGACACTGTCAGCGTTCGACTGTCGTCACAGCAGTCGGGCGAGTTGTACATTACTCAGATCGCCGTGGAGCCACTTCCCCACTACCATGACGCGCACGGCGATGGAAATTGTGTCTGGCACGCCAAGTACTGGAACTTGATTATGGAAAAGTACCGTGCCTGGCGCGAAAAGAAAGGACACGGCCCTCACAAAGGACCCAAGTCGCAGGAGAGTGACGACCACGAGCACAATGATCACCACCATCATCCCAAGGAGCGACCAGCAACTCACCGGGGGACTAAGGAGGGCAGACCTTTCCCCACGGAACAGACCACCGCACACCAAGAGGCTAAAGAGAACAGTCCAGAACTCCCCACGACGGACTCCGACAAAGCTGCGCCCGACTCCCCGTTTCGGGTGTATGGGGTGGACAAATCTCTGCGACCGACGGCTTTGCGTAACAAGGATTACCGCCGGGACTTCTGGCGACTCGTGGTGCCTGCCATCATTCCGGGACTCCTGGGGGCCGTTGCTGGATTGGTGGTGTGCACGATGGGGTTGCTTCTCTGGAAGATTGTGGCATGCACGTGTGTCAGTATGCGGCAGGGTCGCAGATGTCGGAAGCGTTGCCAAAGGAGGCAAGGCGTGTTTTATCGGAGAAGCAACGACTGCTGCAGCAAGACCAGCTGAGTGAGGCGTAGTCCCGTTACCCTACTTAGCATTGAGTAGGGATGATGGTAATCCTGCGTGGGGGCTGAGTCGGTCGCAGATGCACGGCGAGACTTTTTATTGAATGATGTAAATAACATGAGACAAGCTGATTAATGCACATTATTTGCTCCATGTGATAGTCTACAGATTTATGTTAGGGTGTGATACAGAGATGTCTCCAGTAGATGAATTGAAAGCGGGGTTTGGGTCACTAGTTACTAGTTAGTCCGGGAAACCTGAGGCCTGCAGCAAACTATTGGAATTTTCCCTTGGCGACCGTCACTTCTAAGGAGAAAGAGTAGTAGAATGGTAGTAGTAGTAGTAGTGGAAGAAGAGCATTCCGATTTCCGAGCTGTCTCATATGGTGGTTAGTAATAATCAATCGAATGACTGTTGTTGTTACTCAAAGGAAGCAGGGGGAAGGGCTGTTGCCTGGACTAGCAGAGACTGCATCATCCACTCACTGGCCCCAATGAATCCCCTCCCTTCCCTTCCCTTCCCTTCCGTGCGTCATGGCTCCCCTCAAAACCGGTCCTCCACATCTTGCTTTCTTCCTCTGCTGAAATTAAGTAGCCAATACAACCGTTTTTATTTCTGTGATGATCATCCTTTAAGATCCTGATTGGCGTGGAAAATACGTATGTCGCTGTAGGGCTGGCGATACGCCGGGGAAGGGGGCAAACCCAAGTAGGGTAAATTCCCAAGATGATCCACGGGCGGAAATAACCGGCTACTACAGAAATCCTTCACATCTCTACTAATAATACTAATGAGTGGACTACTCAGTGCTTTTACTATTTCGAGTTGAGTGAGATTACGGAGGACCACAACTGGCTTGGTCTGGGTCCTGTCATTGGACAAGCCTTGTCGCGAAGCTTGTCCAAAAGCTTAGTTGACCGCCAGTGGATGCTCTCTGATTGGGAGTGTGGCTATGATGTGTTCCACCTCATCACAATAATCATTATTATTCATTTATCAAATCAACCCATGTCTGTATTGAACCATTTGAATGGCTGGTCCCTGAGCCACCGATCATCCACCGTGTCTGATCCACTCAGTGACTACTTTGTACCACCTTCATCCTTCTCGGCAGGGCTGAGCCAGTGATGTCACCTCCACCTGCAACCGATGCAAGAATAGCAACCACCAACTGGGAATGGTCGACTGACTGTCTGTCTCTCCTCAGCTTCGCCCGCCCAATCCTTTCTAACCCACCAGCGGTTGACACGATCTATCGGCGCCTAACGGTGAGGTCATCACCTCGCCTACCTTCTCCTTGGATGCTAATAGGGCTGACCGCTAGGCTCCCCGACTCCCCCAGATTGCCAAATGGCCAACGGATAAATACTACTAACTGCCCCCCGCCCGGTACCTATTTTCCTCCTTTTCATTCTTTAGCATTTCAGATACCCTTTCGCCTTCCCTCGGATAACTCCTTATCTGCCCGTGTGACTCCGGCTTAAGTCAGCTTCTCCCATCTCCCAACTCTTTCATTGCCGAAAAAGCAAAGAAGCAAACAATCCCCAACAACAACCACCGCCAATATGTTCGACTGGTTCAAGTCTTCCAACAAGGAGTCTGCTACCCAGCAGCCCACCTGGAACCCCAACACTATGACCATGCAGCAGCCTTCCGCCCCGGAAGCTCCCGTTACCGAGCAGGTCGTCACCGGTCAACCCGTGCGTCCCACCCATCTTCGAACCCCCTTGCAGCACAAAAACAAATCTAATATACCTCTAGGGCCAGCAAGAGACGATGCAGATGGGCCTGCGTGGTGGTGGTGAGGGCGAGGATGTTTGCTGTGGCGTGTATGTTTATATTTCTATCGTCTAACATGCTATTGATCGACACTAACCATACGATAATAGGTGCGCCGGTCTTTGCTGCTTCGAATGCTGCGAATGCTGCTGCTAGATGAAATAATCACGCGGATAGACCATCTTCTATACTACGACCCTTAACGTCCATGTACTGTTAATATTGCTCGCATCATGACTATACCATGTTTTTAGCCTGGAGACTGAAGTGATAGAAGGTCCGCGTCCTGGTCTTCATAGCCCAATGTCACAATAATTTTTACAATATGCTCTTATTCCATTCTGCCTTTTCTCTTTTCATACTACATTGTACAGAATCTCTCCAATACCTGATGGTCCCATAAAAAGGAACATTATGGCTCATTTTATGCATTAGACGACACAGTGAAAGGCTAAGGAAATGGAACACCTGCCAAGATCGCAGTGGTTGCGGTTTTGTTGTCGATCCCGATGACCAAAAAGCTTATCGATGGCACATCGCTGAAAGCATAGTAACATATGTATAGGGAATTTCTTGCTAGACCACCTTCAATCGTGGATCGCCTTCAAGAGTCGGTGTTGTCGCACTTGAGCCATTTAAAAAAACGTTGGTTTGATCCGTGATTTCAGTGACATATATATTTATAGTACTAGTTTGGGGTACTCTAGTAATATTAGTAAGGTATTATTCCCATCAATCAGTTCGTAAAAGGGACAGACAGGCTACACCAGTGAACTATAACTTAGGATAGTCACCAATTACTTCAGAGAATGGATGGTATCTAGAGATAGCATCCTACTTCAAGTCTCCAAAAGTCGAAGCAAATATACGCTGGTATCTCATCTCATTAACATGGGGTGCAGCTGTGGATTGACTGGCGCCGAGGGCAGCTTGGCACTTGATGCACAGCGCCCTGCTCTAGCCGAGACATCCGACCGGGCCGTTATCATGTCTGTCCATTAAAGGGCTTGGATCGTCCACGGAGAATTGATCTTAGCACTGTTGTTCCTGTTCGTGAGTGATCCTCGCCCCACGGCTCGTCCGCTATAGCCTAGTAGTCTCAAGCTATCTTACGGCCTCCTCACCACCTGTGCGCCATTTGTGAAGGGATCAATGCTTTGCTGGACACTAGAGCATGGCTGAAAGAGTGAGACTACAACAATCAGCGACTCGGACGTCGCTCGGCTAATCGCTGGCGAAGCAGGCAGTCATCTGGTGGTGGCAGAGCAGACCAGAGGGACATTAGACAAACCAGAATCAATAGCGCTAAACCCGAACCAACCATCATGAACAGTTGCTGCACCCATTTAGGAAACATGCAATTTCCCATGCAGCGGCTAGTTCTGACGGATAAATTGCGCCGAGGTCCAACCGTCGTTAATTGCATTGATTCTGACTTCCGTGACTGATCCGGCTAGCCGTACATGGAGCCCAACTCCCTGACCCGTGAGTATAGACCTTCCACAACATCGACGTTCCAATAATTATCCACCTATATAATAATGATCCCCAATAATCGAAAGTCATAAAAGATTTTGGTGATTGCCACGAGCCATAACGAACCTTTGTCTCGAAGCGAAGCGTTAAATGGGCCTAAGGGTCCTTAGCTTGCGCTAAGCACCCTCATTTCCAGCGCTAAATTACATCCAAATGCCACCAAGTGAGACATACCCAATCAGCACATCCCATGACAGTCATAGCGCCCGGGGGGTTCTCGTAATAGCGGACCCTATCTGGAGAGAGGTCCGAACCAGGCGGCTCTACAGAATCTTTTTGATGCCCATTCGACTGTCTACTCGCTTGAGTCATTTCCCAAAGCTACCAATGTTGGGGCCGTCAGCATGACCTGAAAATGAGATGAGCTTGGCTCTGCAGCCAAGGCTATAGAAAGGGGGATAAGAACGCCCCTTTCAAGCCTTTTCCCCTGATACTACACCCCATTCATCATTCATTCCTCTCTACGGAGAATTATTAAACAGCAAACTTCATCCAAATCCCAGAACACCGGAGACAGATCAAGATTCATCTCAGCAGCCACCATGCGCACCTCGTACCTCCTCGCCGCCGCCCTTACCCTCCTTGGCGGTGCTCACGCCGACGACGACAGCACCACAGTAGTCGGCTACTTCATGCCCTATTGGTCGGTGGACCTCCCTGAATACGGCGGCTGGACCAGCACCGGCGCCAGCGTCGCAGGCATCAATGCCGTGAAAACCACCTACAAAATGAGCTGTCTCAAAGACGCCCCCAAGACAGACTGCGACATGAAGGACGCATACACTATCATTCAAGGCCCGGAAACCGTCAGTGTCAGCCAAGTATACACTGCTTCGACGTCGGACAAGACCACCAGCTTCGATGTCACCGTGACTCTGTCTTACGAATGCTCATTGAAGTCATGGACTGAATCGGCGAGCTGCACCATGAGCGCGGGTTTCAGTGGAAGTGACGATGGCGCGACGTACGCTTCGTCGACGTCGACCAAGTCTACCTATGAGAGCCCGACTAGCAGATACTATTCCCTTGTTGTCACGGGGGGTGTCAAGTCGTTCACCGAGCCTGCCGCTACGAAGACCCCGGATGCTGCTGTTGGTGTCGGGGCTCCTGTCGCGGCCATGATTACGGCGGCGCCTGTTGCGGCCGCTGCTATGGTTGCTGCGGCTTGGGTTTAGGATTGATCAATCGAAGGATCGAACTGTTTATGGAAAAAACCTTGGTTGTTATTGGTCTTAATGTGGGAAGGATCAAATGATACTTGCGGTAGCACTGCAGTTGCTACATAATAATGAAGTTGTCGGTTGCTTGTTCCTTTACCATGCTTTATGCGTCGCTTCTTGTATACCCTAAGTTATCAAGTAATTGAATGCTGTTACGGATGCATGCCTAACTTCTTTGAATACCCTTATCTGACTGAAAGTGTAATTAAGACAATTGCAAGAGGATTGGAGTTTGTTTAATTGAAGTACTGGCACAGGAAAAGGATGGTAGGTAACTACCACCATAAAGCGCACAGTAGAATAGTAATGCAGTGATGCTTGTTATGCTTTCCTGGCAACATCATACATCTCAAAGTGTTGATACGTACTAAACAAGCAGGCAGAGAAACATCGTTGAATTGGTACTAGTTCAAGTAAAATAGGAGTGGCCCCAGAGGCCGACATACATTCCCACAAGAAGACATCGGATTCTGCCACCACTTCCCCAAGGCGGTCAAAAAATATACAGAATGCTGACTGGTCATTTCGGAGTTGTTGAAAAGTATATCCGTCTATATCCGCCTATATCCGCACTTTTCTTTGCGAGGTCGCTGATGTTCTGCCGCTTTTGGCGGTCAGGCAAGCGGTCAAATCTGGCAATACTGTGCTTGGGTCTATACTATAGCACAAATAGGCGGAACCCTGTGATATTCTCCTAGGTAGTAGCTATGCCTAGAGGTGTCTCACACGACCTTTCCCTCTTCATACAGCCATACTTCGAGCCACTTCTTCTCGCGTCATAAAGACGGCCGTGCATTGGCGTACTTCTCAACACCATCTATCAACACTTTCCCATTTTCGCCCGACATCGCGGCGGCATTTGCCTCAGCACTGGTCCAGGTCACATTGGCTTGGAAGCAGTACGGTGCATCAGAGGGGAATGTGAATCCCATGAGAAGAGCACATCCTTGCCACAGAGCATTTTTGCTAAGGGTATCTGGACGTTGATGAAATAGTCCAGGTTGACTTCTGCATCGCGGGGGTATAGGACTTATGGTATCTATCAGTGACGTTATAGACGTGGACAATGGTAGGGGAGAAGGTGCTGCGTAGGTAAAGGGCATTTTTGGGAAATGAAAACTTTCGGTAGGGTTGGAGTACGAACTGAGGTCAAGGGTAATCAGGTAAGAATAATGGGAGGAGACACAAGAGTATGCTTTTGTAGTGCTATCCTTATCCCGATACACTGTCTATGTCGATGGGGTGCGGGTTGAGGGCCTTGCGAGTGACAACATCTGTCGAATCTGATGATGATGCAGCAGGGCGGAAAAGGCTATCATCATGGTGGCTTTGCTGCTTGTATGTCCAAGTAACATTCCTATGATCGGCATGACGTGCTAGCACGTACATTATACCGCAAATCATGGATGCATGAAGTTCCCGTAACCACGGAAGTGCAGAAGACTATATTCGAGTTTGGGTGGGGCTGAGGAAAATCGGTGATTAAATGTAGGACGCAAGGGTATTGTTTAGGCACACTAGGTCCCAAGGAGCGACAGTGCGTTTGGAGGAAGGATACGATGGAAGGTACGAGAAGAGGAAATTAATAATGGCTCATTTCTTCACTTAACCCATTCTTTGTGTGTAAGCGTCTCTGCGCGCTTTTGGCTGGGCTCCTTGCAGGCATCATAATGGCAATCTACTATATGGCTCTGCTCTGGCTAGCCTCTATCACTCGCAGCTTCAATTATAAGTCGAAATTGTTCGTAGCATTAGGGAAGACTTTAAACCCTCAAATTCAGATGTGGGAAAGCTCGCTTGGCACGGTCGGGGAGAGTCTCGAGGAAATGCCCCCATTCAAGACGACACTGATCACAGAGCTGCACACCTCCAAAGCAATGGTCCCTTTGGGCACCGTAGACCTCACGATATATACACTCAGGGCAATGTTGGCTGTCCGCCCCATCAAGATAGTCCGCCAAACCACGGAACATGAACTCATCGCTTCTCGCCATGGACCTATTGTAATGCTCAATATCTTCGGCTATATCGGTCTTTCTCCTGTCGATGCGATTCCAAAGCTTCTTGTTGAGACGTGTCTGGTTGATAACCTCTTTGGTCTCACGCTTGCCCACTGTAAGGTCCTCCTCCACGAAGCGGTACCGCCGCATCATCATATGGATGGGGCCACCAAAGCTGCGTAGGAAGTTGGTAACAGCGAGATGCCCAGGTGTACCAGCCATTGCCAGGTCTATCGCCCAGAGAACCTGTCGTGCCCGGTGAAAGGCATCAATGCGATGGTCTTCTGGCATGTAGGCAAAGGTACTGTTTGTCTCTCCCTCAGAGCGATGCTTATAGAAAGCCACGGCGTCATACATAGTATCACCGATCTCGCAGAAAATATCATATTGCGCATCTGTGAACCAAGTGTCAAGGAGATCGTTGCAAGCCAGGGCAGAAGCTATGGTAAATCGAGCTAGGGCATCGCAGTCTCGCATCCGAAACCACTGCTGTGGTGAGCTGACAAGAGCGTTGACATATCGGCGGAATAGTTCGCTGTTGGCGTGAGTGACTTTTTGAGATGTAATCAAAAGAAAGGTTTTGTATTCGCGGGCCATATCAAGATGCCCAGGGGTGCCGTGGAAAAGTTCATCTAGAACTTCATCGAGATCATAATTGAGGATTTTTGGCCCAGCAGTGACATCGACCATGGTACCCTGAAACTCGGCAATGATCCCCATGGTAATGATGCGCATAAATGCAATATAGCGCACCCAGTTCGTGTACTGTGGGATTACGGACCGTGAGTACTCCCAAGCGCACGCCAGGACCTCGTCCTTGGTGTCTTTTGGTAGGTCAATCCCATCAAGGTCATGGGCGATATCATCGGGGTAGTACCATTCGTTCTGAATTGTCATCTTGGCTTGTCTTGCACAATGCTAGCTTTAGACCTTTCGATGTTCAAATTGATATTCTGACTTGCTCAGCCTCTAACTAGTTCTCTCTATTTACCTGAAGTCTACAGTCACACGCCGGATTTATAGAGATACTGTTGCATTAACTCGACGCGTATGGGTTTATGCTTTTTCTTGTAAACTAGTCTCATGACGTGGGTTACCCTTTTTAGTTACATACATCAACCGCATTTTGTTCCCACTTCTTGCTCGCACGGAGATGCTGTCCTCTATGTTCCTGGCGAATATTTTACGAGCAAGTTTTAGAGATATCCCTTGCGTTCTGTTACCGGTCGGGGTCCTCTCCGAAGATATACATTAGTGAGGTAGCTTTTAGGACGACAGGAAAATTAGCTACCCTAGGCCGTTATGTTCGCGTGAAGTTGCTCTGAATGCCTGCTGTACACAATGATCTTCGTTTTAGCATGAAGTTTCATGTTCATTTAGCAATTGAGTGCAATTATACGCTAGCAGAATGTGCCTAGCAAATGGCTTCTTTATTGTAGTACTGACTATGCCATCATACTAATGATGTTGAAGATTATCCTGCTGCTGATAAGGCACCCTGCCAGATTGAATTCTAACCGTCTGAAGATCCTGTCTATCAGGCTATTGTGGGGAGCCGATCGCGATGTGTCAAACATGTATCCCTTGCGTCTAAATACCCTCCGCTCCACCAGACCATTTTGTGCAGAATGGCATGACGTAAACAGGTTACCCCAATGAGCAGAGAGCAGATATGCACGACGGGCTATAGGCTAGATTCACAGATATTGGCACATATATGTATGCATGAGCATTTTCATATCGAAATCAGTCAGGTGATGATGTTCTATGCCACGTTTAGGGAAAGCACCTCCTTCGCTCTCCACCGCGTTGACTGAAATTCCTGCTTTCGTACCATCTCCCTTCACTTCGACTAGTTTGAGACAGACTACACCCTCACCATGGATTTCTACAATCTTGCCGCCTTGACAGCATTCGCCTTGTTTGGATGGTATGCCCTTACTTCCACCCTAGCGTGGTATCGGCTCCGCAACTTTCCAGCGCCCAGCTGGCTAGCCCATTTCTCCTACCTCTGGCTGGGACGGTCGACATATAGCGGAAAACAGTACTGGGTACACCGCGAGCTACATCGAAAATATGGCCCGCTGGTTCGGATTGGTCCGAACGAGATCATGACCGATGACCCGGACATTATCCGCTCCATGTCATCAACTCGAAGCACATTTACTCGCGGTGAATGGTATCTCACTGGGCGGTTCAACCCGTACTACGATATCCTGTTTACTATCCTAAGTAATGACGGACACAAGAAGGCACGAGCACGCGTCCATGCAGGCTACTCCGGCCGCGAGACGGGAATTGCTTTGGAACATGGGGTTGATCGCCAGGTAACCAAATTAACTGATCTGCTACGGCAGAAGTACGCTGTGCCTGGGGATGATGCACCGCTTTTAAACATAGTCAATATTAGCTCCTACTTTACCATGGATGTTATCACAAAGCTAGCCTTTGGGCAAGAATTTGGCTTTCTCCAGGCAGAGAAAGATCGTTATGGCTTCTTCAAAGAAGTGCACTCCCTCTGGCCGCAAATGTCTATAGTGGCAGATGTGCCGTGGATTCGAAGAATTATTTTCTCCAAGCCATTTCTGAAGCTGTTAGGCCCTCGCCCAACGGACTCTCATGGCTTCGGTGCCTTGATGGGGTATGTACAGCTCGCTTGTGTGTCGACTTGAGTACTGACAACCTGACAGAGTTGCTCGTAAACATGTGCGGGAGAAGTTCTCTACTCTGGACAATAGCAAAGGGGATATGATGGTATGTTGTCAATTAAAGCAATATTTCTCGACGGAATCGAGTTCTAACAGCGATGTAGGAATCTTTCATCCGCCATGGATTGACCCAGGAGGAGTGTGAAGCCGAGGGGCTCTTCACAATCATTGCTGGGACTGAAAGCACCGCGTCTACTATACGGTCCATCTTGATTCACATCATAAGTTCTCCTGTTGTCTACTCAAAACTCAAGAACGAGGTTCTCGAAACTATCAGAAAGGGGCCTGTCAGCAGCCCTATTAGCAACCAAGACGCCATAGACCTCCCGTATCTTCAGGTTAGATCCTTTCATTATCCCTAACTTACAAAAGCCTGACCAGACTGATTTAATAATGGGACGTTAGGCCGTTATTCTCGAAAGCATTCGCATGCGACCGCCCATCCTGGGGCTCTTTCCCAAAGTCGTGCCCTCAGGCGGTGTTGAATATCATGGGCAGTTCATTCCCAGTGGCACCAATATTTGCATGAACATATCGTCTCTTTTACATTCTAAATCGCTGTTCGGGAATGACTCCGAGGTCTTTCGACCTGAACGCTTTATGGATCAGGATGAAGATACCTGCAATGAGAGGAAAAGAAATCTTGAACTAGCCTTTGGCCATGGACAGAATCAATGCCTGGGCAAGCACATTGTCCTTATGGAGCTTGCAAAGGTAACATTCGAGGCACGTATCCTTTCACTTGAGACCAATTAGGCACCGTTCGCTTACTAGTCTTGTAGTTATTCCGCAATTTCGATTTTCAGACAGTGAACCCCTGGCGAGTGAACCATGAAGTGCAGAGCTATGGTGCTTTTCTCGAGTCGAATATGAAGCTTAGGGTAACAGAAAGTGGACTGTGATTTACTAGTCGGTGTTAGTGATGAATGAGGGAGAATTATCCTTTGCTTGACTGTGAGAACATAGAACCTTCACCTACGTATCTACAGTATTATTTCAGACATAATCTTGTCTTGGATGTGTATAAGTTACAAATAATATGTCTCAATCCGCAGTTGAACTTACCACATTAGAGAGCTAATTACTCCAGCAATAGATGTATAGGTTCGATGACAAATGCAATGATGCCGCTCATCATAATGTGTAATTGCAACTCGGTTTTCTCAAGGGTTAGGTCGTACTACTTAAAGCTTCTTACAGAAAGAGCTAAAATATTTGTCCTACCACGCCTGTCGGGATATCACTGACTGGACATGGCATAGGTGATAGAAAGGAAGAACTGCAAAGATGAAGGTGTCAGATGACCCTTTGAGGGCATGCTGCATTCCTCTAGCGCACAAGGTACGCGTAGAGGTGGATGAATGATCGCAGTACCTTACTGACGATGTCCATTAGTGCAATTGGTCGACGCAATTTCAGGAGAGAAGGTGGTGCCTGGGTTCTGCAGAACGACTGCCACTGATTTTAACGGTGGCACACTCAAGGCTGCTGTATGCTGAAGACCAGACCTGTTACATCATGCTGCGACGTGTGACCTTGCCTTTTCAGAGAAACTAACGGTCACCATTTACTGGGCCGAGAGGGATGAGGATGACGTTTTCGCCTGGACGCACTTTTCCAGCGCATCGCATCTGTACGGCATCTGAAGTCGAAAGAAGCAAGGTGTGGTCGATCAAGGTGTGGTGGAAAATATGCACCTTGCCCATACGGGTGAATACACTGAGCGCTGCATAGGGTATTCCCGTAGCATGGAACTGGTCGATGGAAGAAACATTAGGATTGAGATCGGACCAGCCAATTGCATAGTATGTGTGAGGGAAACGTCAAAGTTCGTCATCCTAGATGCCATTCCGAAATGTGACAGTTTTGTCTTTTGATCAGATCCTCATAGAAAGCATACCCGATGCAATAGTAGTAAAGCATAGGACATATCGGCGACGAAGCCGTCATAATTTATTACTGCCTCAGGCACTGAATACACCTCGGAATATGGCCGAGTTCCGAATGAGGCAATATGCATGGCGGTGCTAGTGTGGCGTACGTGAATAAGTGGCTGGGTATATCCAGAGATGGAGGCGAGCCCAGTGAGTATCTAAGGTTACACAGTCGGCTGGTTAAGAATTACTGTGGCATACTTCTTGGAGGCAACCTGAAGAGCCAATCCTCGACAGCTTTGGCTGAAGCGACCGGCAGATGTCTTATCCAGTGTGCAGAACGAGAAGAGGGATACTACAGCAACAAACGAATATATCGAAAGAGAAAAGCACGATAGTATCCATTATGCAGTGACTAGAAATAGAGTTGAGGGTATCTTTTCAGATGTAGCAATTTACTGTCATACACACTTCGAGGCAACTACGCCCACTTTCCGATCAAGGCCATGATGCCCGCCCCCAACAACGTACAGAACACCATGTACAGCAGCTTGGAGCGACGACGAGTACGACACGGGTCGAAAATGAAGTCGCGTGCCAGCAGTTCCACCAGAGCACTGTAGATCAGCACTCCTGCTGAGATGGCATTGAACACTCCCTGTACGATCAAGGATGTCTTCGAGCCTGGGTTGTAGGCAGTACGCAGGCCCAGGCCGATCGCAATCGAGATCGGAGTGGTCAGGCCATACGCCAGACACAGCAGGTGAGGGAGCCACTTGCGATGTCCAAAGGGAATGGCAGAAAGTCGGGCACCGATACCCAGACCCTCGAAGGATTGATGGAAAACCAACACGGGGTAGAGGGTCGCGAATTCAGAGCCGGTCACACCAAGGTTGAGCCCGATGATGACCGAGTGGAAGATGATACCAAACTCGAGGATCAAGAAACCGGCAATCTGTTGTCTGAAGGAGCGTTCACCTTGCTCGGACGAGGTTTCTGCGGAGGTTGCCGTGGGGGAGGTCTTTTCTGCGGACATGCGACCATCTTCGGGGTTGGGGTGTACATGCGCGCTGGTCGGATCACCGGAAATAAAGGCGTCCGTGGCGTTCTCCTCTCGGTGCATGCCATACTTGTTCTCGACGTAGACCTCGGCGGCGAGATCAAGAAGGAAGATAAGAGTGATGGAGCAGAGCACAATAGCGGCACACCAGGAGTATAGGGACCAGTTTCCGGAAACGCCAACGCAGGTCTTGGGTCCGATGCGCTTGTAGGCCGGATCAAGCAGATGAATGAAGGCTGTTGCTAGGATGACACCCGTACCGAAGTAGCGAGCGAAGATGTAGACATTGTGAGGGATCTTCCAGCGGGGCATGCTCTTAGCCACGACGGGAAAGAAGGTAAAGGCTGTGGAGACGAAGAGGATAACAAAGATGGATGAGATGCGGGCCCCCATATGACCGTTGTAGTCATTTTCAGAGATGGCATAGTAGCACAACACGTCCTCTTTGCTGGCCGTGTGGAGGTTCACGTCGGAAGCATTGAAAATAGCCATGGCGACCAGATGGGGAGAGGAGTCTGAGGAAAGCACTGAAGTGAGGATTGACTGGAGAGGACATAATGAAAATCTAGCTGTAGATGGTTCATCTTATAGCATGCTGAGTGAGGACCTTGGGGTGTAGCTGAAGGAAATGGTGGTGTCTAGGGGAGTGCCTGGCTTGACGATGGCGAACCAGGTGCCCTCCATTGTGGGCCGCAGTAGTCTCGACAGGCGTAGGCTGACAGGGATAGCCATTAACTAAGGTCTGTCTGGATGGCTAGCCAAATTTGCCTCGCTCGACTCTTAACAGGATACAGACATCCTCAATCATCTCATCGGTTCATGACCTTTCGATGGACCATCGCGTAGAAGCTCTGTATCTTTGAAAAACTGAAAAGCCCTTTGCTGACATTCCTGGCAATATCATTCGCAAACAAATTGGTAGGGCTGAGCAGCATCCCCCCGTGAGCCGGAATGAACGAGCGCCCTATAGGGCTGATGGGGATGTCGCTTATCTGCAGGCCAATCAAGCTGGCGAACAAAATGCGTGAGATGCAGCCCGGGTTAAGTTGTCTCCCAAGGTCCTCGCGCGGATTCCACTTTCCAAGGTTTGGGTCACTCCATGGTTCCGCCCTCGTAGGCCTCACTGGCTGAATTTTCCTAGCTGGCGAGAGTGCCGCCCCACGCTCAACCCATGCAGTCAGACAAGGTCGATTGTGTGTTTTTGCATCCACACGCGGTCCGAATACACATCTCCACCCGAGGGCTCGGATCCGAGGCCAATGAACGGCCACCTGCTGGTGCCGTGGGATATTTGCGTCTTAGCCTAACTTCTGATATGAGGGTGCTTGAGCGTGGAGGGGGAAGGGAAGGTTATGGATCGTTATATTCCATGCATGGCATCTTCACGTCCGCGGTCGGATAGGGAATTTAAGAGTCGGCTGCATGAGCTGTCATGCTCGAGCGTTGCACGGGCGCATACATCTCAGAGTAGAACAATCCGCATTGTACCACTGCGGTAATTAAAATCGTATGCTAAGCTTCAGTGGTCTGACGTGTCTCAGTTGTTGTGGAGCGATGGCGACAAGCGTTGGCGACACGTTGAATATATACATTCAGTTGTAGTTAGTGCTTCCGGAGGGAAAGGACAGTGGTGGATTACTCAGAAGGCTTTCCTTGGCCATTGCAGTGGCAGGACATGCTCCAGCGCATAAAGGAAGATCAAGTCTTGTGACCGACCGGCTTGCTGACTCTTGGGACTCGGCAGTGAATTATAAGGAGCTGGCTCTCCCAGAATTCATCTACCCAGCTACATGGAACCCCAACCAGCCATAAAGACAAATTAACGGGCGGCGTTCTTGCACTGTTTGGAACAACAGTATAGCTCGTTCCACACCCCGGTGAGATTCAGATCGATGAAGAGAAAGAACCAATGCTGCCATGTAAAGTGCAGGCCTGAAAGAAGGAGAAACGAGCTACCCCTGAAGGTGGAGGATCTTGGTGGTACTTTCGTCCGCTGGTGATGTGACTGACTCAAAGAGCGGTCTTTCCGAGGAGAAAGTGATAGAAACAATTCAAGTCTAACTAGACTAAACCCTTGGGCTCGCATCAGTTTACCCAAAGTGGTGGCTGCCGCTGTCCACCCCCTGACTCGGCACTTCACCGCTGTGCCATCGCCGAAGAACATTACATGAACCCAAGATCACCCAGCTTTCCTGCGTTTGCTTCATAATTACCTGGTCTAAAGGAAAAGAGGGGAAATCACATTGATCCGAGCGTCAAACGTTTCCAATACCTACGGCGTCTTAGCACATCGACCCAAACACCGCTGCTCAACGAAGCCGGAAGGCCGCGGAGGAGACTGGAGCTCGGGGTTGGCCGTTTACGAGGCTACACAGCCGGGTCTGGACTTCTTAGCCCTCTGTTTCAGGCGTAGGTGGATGCATGCGGTGCTGAGGGGCCTATTATCTGGAACGAACTTATGGTCGGGTAGCATTATGCATTGGCTGGAGACAAGGTATTATAGCCCGTGGCTGCCCTCGAACTGGATGAGCTACTCAGTTTCTTTGTCTGAAATGCCTTGGCTGATGTGATACGAAGAGTTTATTGAGCGCTTGGACGCTCTCGTTGATGTTTGGGTCGAAGCATGGGCCTCGGATAAGGTTGATCCCTCCCGTGCCTGGGGAGGGGAAGGGGGTGTTGAAGGGAAATGCTGGGTCACTCCTTTCCCTTTCTGAGAATGAGCTCCCCAGGAATCATGGCCAGGCTGGAATCTAAACGTCCCATGGCACACTCAAGGGTGACACAACCGAGCCTACCAAGAGTCCCCGAGAAGCGGATCTTCATCGACGAGGATGCGCTGGTCCCCGATAGTCTTCAGAGACCCACTGTTAGATCTAGGTCAATCCCAACACCTTAGATTCTACCGACACTTTCTCTCGAGAACTTCCAGCAATATCGAGCTACCATCTGCAATATATTTGGAATCGGAGCTGTCAATTATGGTCCGGCTGGGACTCCGAGGCAGCTCCAAATTAAACTTTCTTTGTCTCCGCCAGACTGGGATGCTCGAGGTCTCCGGGACCATCACCTGAATATAAACCCCCTGTCCAGTACCCGTTTCCCCGTTGATGACTCCAGGCTTGTCCCGTAAAGCTTCACAATGAGCATTTCTGGGGGTGATGCTGCCATCATCGTGGGGTACCTCCTTGCGACTCTGGCAATCAGCATCATGGGCCTCCGGCTCTATATGCGCCGCTATCGACGACAGTCCTTCGTCATCAGCGACTATATAACTCTTTTCTGCTGCCTTCTTTTGATCTATATCATGAATATAACTCTTGTTTTCGGGACGCTTGGTAACGTTGCCGTCACATATATGGCGGGCGAAGTACCGAGTCGCGCCGATATCAAGCGTTCCCAGATGAGCAGCAAAGTTACTTATGCTGGTGCGATCATCTACTTTACCTAGTAAGTAAGCATCCGAACACGCGGAAATGCGTGGCGCATATGGTGAATAATACTGAGACCGTCGAGTATTTGGTGCCAGAAGGCTGTCGTTCTCTGTTTCATCAACCGACTTCTAGGGGTGCTTCCGTGGCCATACATATGGATTCGCGTCATGTGGGCCATACTATGCGTCACATACATAACATTGCTCCTTCTCTTCCTCACCGTATGCAGACCATTGAGTCTGTACTTTCAAGTCTATCCCGATCCAGGTGCGTTGTTCGCGAGGTATACAGTACTTTAGTCTCAGTCAGAATATCTAACTTTTGCCCTCTTTGATTCCAGGTCCTTGTATCAGATCGACATACCACATATCCGCCCATGCCGTATTCAACTGCGTCACCGACGTAATGCTGATTATGCTTCCGATTCACTGGCTCCTTAAGATTAGGCGTCCCTGGTATAAGTGAGTGCAAATGTTGATACCAACGTTTCTCATCCATACTAAACTATCCGAAGACGCGCCCAGCTCATTGGCCTCTTCTCCATCGGCATTGTCCTCGTGGTGATTTCTGCTCTTCGTTTCCCATTCCATCAAGGTTCACTCGACACTTCCTTGCAGACAATCTTGAGCCCCATAGAGGAACTTCTTTCGGCCCTGGTCGCCAACGTGCCCACATTGTACAGCCTCCGACGGGCCAGGCAGCCAGAGACGCCTCCACACCCTACGCAACCATCCCCGAAGAGACTCCCACGAGCGGTCGACAGCATCATAATTATGCAGACCGTGGATGTAGAGGAATCTCGTACGGATGATCAGACACTCTCTACAACAATAACCGATCGAGCGTTATCCACTACTATGGCCGATCGTGACCCGAACGACGACAGCGACGGACACCTTGTTCGCAATGGTCCGGAATGAAGCAAATAAGAGCATGTAGCATATAGAAGGATCTTACAGGATCTATACATAGCATATAGTACGAGTTGATGTATATAGCGAGACGGCGGACTGACCTTAATAGCCCACAGTGCACATCCTTGTCCGCCATACGCAGTGCCCTCTGGAAAGGGAGATTTTCGGGATACCCAGTAGCTACTGAAATTGCAGCAGCAGCATATTGACAAGAGACCTTTACTTAGCTTAGTGTGCCTAATAGTTCAGGAACATTGCACCCTTTCCGGAATACACAAGTACTGGGCAGAAACACGAATATTACTATATATTATATTTCAGACAATGGAACAGCCTTATCATCCCCCATACAAATGCACACTAGAATCCTTCGTCCAGACCCGCAACCTCTTTCCGAACAAATACATTGGCACACCCAACGCCAGCGGCCCAAACGTCAAAGCCAGCTGCACCATAGCAGGCATAAAATACCCCAACTTCCTCTCCGCCAACGACGGCACCCAATAACTCATAGTGAACCCACAAGTATTTCTAATAATCGTAACTACAGCCATAATCTCTCCAGAAACAGGTTTATACGAATCCATCGCATACGCCACCGCATTGCTAGACATGGCCGAAACAACCAGTCCACTGAGTCCGTACGCGAAAATAAGCAAAACAGGCCAGGGCCATAAATCGAGGATCGCAAATGAACCAACCAACACCGATATAAGCAGTATCACAGAAGGTGGAATAAGAGCCAAGAGTCTCATTTCCGCCTCGTAGACACCCTTGTTCCGCTGCGTGGCTTTCACCGCGACCCAGTCGGATAATGGCCCCGCCGTGATGAGTCCGACGATGCAGCCGATCAGAAAGGCGAAGTTGGAGTATCCCACTTGGGAGGCGTTGAAGTTATAGGGCGGGGCGCCGAGAACGGAGGATTCAGTGAGGTTCCAGAAGAGAACGAAGTTCGCGACGCCGGACACTGTCGCCGCGGCCCAGAAAATGATCGGGTAGAGGCAGATGCGGAATGGGGTGAAAATGTCTCGTAGGAGAAAGGCCTTCCATTGCGGATCCGGGGCTTGCCATAGTTTGAATTGTGCGCTGCAGGGGGACCCGGTCCCGGGCTTGGGTGGTGGTGGTGCTTGGGTTGAGTAGATTTCCTTCGAGTCTACGGTCGGGCTGATGTCTGTGGGCGAATCATAGGACTCTAATGTGTGAGACGTATGTGGCGTATGCCGTGGAGGTTTGGACGCAGGGTCGCGGTGGTACTTCGTCTCCGGGGAGCAGAGAAGGATGGTGATGAAGTTGAAGCAGGTCATGGCCATCGATAGCCAGAAGAAGCTGCGCCATCCGAATCTGGTTTTCCATGAGTCAGTAATTCATTACGAAGCCACAATGCCCTGCTTATACAATATGCTCCCGCACCTAATCATACCTTTGTGTGATATTTCCTGATATTACCGGCCCCAGGAACGAGCCAAAGGAAGCCGCAGTGCTTAGTTTGGCTTGTCAGTGAAACGGCCTCGATGTGTTCCTGGCTCATTCAACTCACAAATAAGCTACGGTCCATTGTCCTCGCTCGTACAAGAAGAAAAGATCCGCAACAGTCTGCATGGGTATTGTCTCACAGGCCGCTGCCCCTGCTCCGTTCACCACGCGAGCCACGATGAAACTGGTATAAGACGAGGCGAGAGCCTCCCATACGTACGAGGCGATGCTGATCGCCAAGAAGACCAAGAAGGTAAGGCGACGACCAAAGATATTGGAACAGGGGACGACGATCAAATTGGCATAGGCAAAGGACAGGATACACACGCCGGTGATGAGCAGGAGCTGGGTGTTGTTCGGATGGAAGGATTCGGTGAAGGCAGGAAACATCGGACTCATGGACAGTGCGGATGCTGTCAATACGAAGGCGGCCACGAGCTGGGTCATGATCACTAGGACTATCGTCGAAGGTGATTGATGAGCGTGGTTCATTGTGTGGTTTGCTTGTGACTTACGCTTCCATTTCATCGACCAATTTAGTGGATCGTGGGGATCGTCCGATGGCTGAGGAACGAGGCTTATGCAGGTGAGCTAATGCTGTACATCTGGGCTCGAGGAGCACCGCTCACACTATCGCAGTTTTGGACCCATGGACGAGTTGATGATCCCCATCATGTATTATTGCGGTTCCCGGGAGATGCTCCCTATGCCTGGGGAGCGCACTCTCTGGCGAGTCCATTCTGCTGCGGGGGGAGCAACTCGACTGTTGGTTGCGTTGGATAATTTGATGTTGGGGGAATAAGGATATGCAGTGCTCGAGGGGGATCTGCAGCTACGAAGCTTGACTATATCTCAAAGGACCAGGTGAGGCTGAGCTGAGGATTGTAAAGGTAAGCGATGAATGACGCAAGGGGTGGACAAGGATGAGCTGGCGGAATGCAGATTTCCTGTCGATCTTCTCCCAAGCGGAATGCAGGGTTGGACAATTATCAATACTCCGATTCATGATGAGCTGGGTGTCATGCCGTCCTTTATCCATGATAGAGTACAGTATAGATATGGACGGGCGCCTATGTATGAGGGTGCCAGAAAAGGAATGCAGAGTACCAGTAGTACTGGCTATATCAGGATTCGAGGACAGGAAGCTATCTCAGCACAATCTACAAGTGAAGATAGTTGTGGCGGGGCATCTGTGATGGTTCTCGTCGGTGTGACAGTCCGTGGAGGTTGGCATTGCAAACTATCATTGACTATCATTGTAAACAACCCGAATGGAGAGAGATATGCAGCATATGTAAGTTGCCGGCCAATGAGACACCACTTTTACATGGATCGTTCAATAGTAGCACAACAGCACATCTTCCTGGGCTTGTTAGAGTTCGCAACAAAAGCCACAATGGACATGGGTCCAATCAATGCCTTTCATGCTATATAGCTGACTACTGCATGAAAGACTTTGACTGAATTTTCACAGTAAGTATTAATAGCGCTCTTCGAAGGAGCATGTTACTGAGCATTGGAGTTAACCAGTTGTCAGCCCGCCTTTGCTCAATCCACCATTGGAATGCTACTATCTGGAGGTATGGCCAACAATCCTTCTCTATCTCTTTCCTTTGCAACTACGGTTAACTTTAAGTTTCTCGAGGTATCTCCAGGAGCTATCATTATCTCCAAAACTGTGGAATACCCTTAAAAGGGACACTTTCATCGATAGAGGATTCAATAACAATCTATAATTATCGGAGACTAACCAGTTCGTCATCCGTAGCATCTCCGGTATATCGCTAGAGATGTCCTTTCTCGGCTCCGGGGGCTCGGACGAACGATGATTTAACCTCCTCATCTATCCGCGGTGCCTCAGGATCAATCTCATGGTTACTGTCCGAGAATACGAAAGGCAGAACCAGCCCCGCGGACACCCTTGCATACCCATCCGCCATCCGCCATGTCCTGGGAAATATCTGAGGATCTTTGGCTCGCTGACTCTTTTATTCGAACCGAGCATTTTGTTCTAGTGGTCTAATCTTCACCGTCAGTAAGAGGCATGACAAATCGAGTTTATGCCAAGACCATCGCATACAATTAGGGCAACCTCATCTGTCCTCTCGATTCATTATTACAATATTATCTGTCCAATACAAAACACGCTATTCGCCAACACCTGCAATGCAGTAAATATAAATGAAAAGCTCTAACCACCCTCACATCATCACATCATATCCATTAGTTCGCCGCCCCATCCTCAAAGTGCTGCAACTATCCGCAGGTACGAATATAATAATGCCCGCTCTCCTCGCGCATATCGACGTGCCATCGATCGCGCAAGCGCGGAGTTCCCGCCGCTCCCAGCTGCGCTCCAGACCACGCATGCACAGTTCCCGGGCTATTCACAGCTAAAGCGAACAGATTCGGTGGTTCCGTGAAATCTGTCACTAACTGCCCGCGTCCTTGGAAGAGTATGAACCCCAGACACATGATGTTCGTCAAGAAGACTACAGCCAGAATGACATAGAACACCTGCTGCCAGTCACTCGTCCGGCCGGACGCATAGCCCGCAGACTGCAGTGTCGCGTTGAACACCTGCACGGCAGGGGTATTGAGACTAGGCTCGGAGTAATTCCAATCGGGAACAAATGGAGAGTACTGGCTACCGAGGAGGGCGGTACTTCCTGCTAAGACGGCCAAAGCCTCACTGAGCGAGGGGAGTCGAGGATCCAGCGAAGAGCTGTTAGTGGTGTTATCGAAGCTCGGAACCAACTCCATCAGCGTGCGTTCAATAGCGGCGTCGTCACCCTGGATGCCTGACGCGAGAGTCACCGTGTCTGCCCACTCCCATGCCACGCTTTTCCAGTTTATCAGGTACTGATCCTCTGACGTGTTAGGATGTATCCGGTTGTACTGGAGCCTGTCGGCAGCGTCTTCGCAACGTGAGCTCAAATCCCCGCCGCTCGGGTCGACCTGATACTGCGCTGAGCAGCGACCTGAAAGCTTCCCGCGCAGTCCGCAGAGGACGTACTTCGGGTCGTGGCCTGGAGGGGCACTGCCTAATATGTAGATGGAGTTTGTGTTGTCGACTTTGGGGTTCAGGATGGTGTTGTAGGCTTCTGGATAGATGGGGAAAACAGGGGCGCCTTGGTCTTCGCTGAAGCCGAAGAGGTCATCGACGACGGTGCGGTTCGTGTTGATCGAGTATGTTGGTGCGGCGGTTGCCCACGTCGATGCGTTGAAAGGCTTATGGTTGGGCCACTCGGTGTAGATGAGGGGTTTCAGTTCGTCATGCGACATGCCGACGCACATCACATTGATAGCAGGCGATGGGAGAGAGGCTTGGATGATGTACTTGCCCTCTCCAGACATGTCAACGGGCTGTTGGATCTTATTTGCAGGGTTGCGTGCAGCGGCGAAGAGGCCACCGTGTGGGTAGGCGGCAGTGACGTTGTTGACGACGCGACCATGTTGTTCGGATAGGGCGGTTGTGTTGACGATTTCGATCCAGCGACCGGTCACTGTGGTGTTGTCGTATAGCAAGGCATGCGGCTGCGGGCGATAAGCGAGGGCGGTTGAGGTGCTATTTCCGGCTTTCAGCATTTCGGCCCAACCTTGCAGGTATTGATAGTAGTCGTGATATGAGCGGCCGGCTATCTCCATCTCTAGACAGGTCTCATTCCAGTGGGTTGGGTCAACATCGACTGTGATTGGAGTTTGGCAGGCGTCTTCCAAGTAATAAACGTTGGAGTATTCGGTGAAGACATTTCCCTGCAGGAGTCGGGGTTGGACGGGGCCCATGACCAAGCTTGGAGATACTAGAGCCGGGGAATTATAGACGGTCAGAAAGAGGGTCTATCATGAATGGTGAGGGGACAGAGTGACTAACCTAGGGCTTCAGCAGCAGTGGTATACAGCATCGCAACCAGAGCGACAATTAGCGTCAACCCACCAAGCGTCGTCCACCCGACATAGCGCAGCACATCCCACTGCATCAGCAGCGACCCCGGCTGCGTGATCCAGGTTCGTAGCGTCATGTCAGCGATGCTGACGCCCTCGGACCCATGCGCGAGAGCCCGCCGACTCAACAGCTGGCCCAGGAATGCCACACAAACAGTGACATAGGAGAGCTCGATTGTTTTGGCCAACAGGGCGCTCAGCAAGGATGCGGACGAGGCAGTGAGTCCGGCATTGTTACCGATCAAACTGCCATAGTAGGGCTTGATACACGCGACGACGAAGAAGACGCCGGACAGGATGGTAGTGTACACGCCCAGTACAATAAGAGTGACGAAGAGACCCGAACACCGACGCCTGGGCTTATTGGTCACCAATGGCATAGAATGAGGTTGATCGCCATGATCGACACCTTTGGGTGGTGTATCGGTCAAGTCACTACGAAATGAATCGCGTGGCCCCGGACCGAGATCGCGAAGATCGATTACGCTTTTATCGTCCTCGCCGGATGAGTCGTCGTTCAATCTTGCGTCCGGGATGTTGACATCGGACAGGAGACGGAGCCCATCCGACGACCTGGCAGCCATGGTTGGCTGAGGTCAGATGCAGACAGTTTGGGGGTTTGTTTTTCTTGGAGGGAAAAAGTGAGGAGGGAAGGCTTCCTGGGCCAACGGTTTTTAAGGGGCGGTGCATGGCGGATGGGCATTTAAATCAGCTAGTCCAGCTAATCCCTGTTGTTTTGTCCACCAGATGAGTTGGCTTCAATTTAGTGAATTGGGGGCCATTTGCGATCGGTTGGGGTTCTTGTTGGTGTGAGGCTCGGGTGAAGGGCCCGTCCGGATGCTGGCTGTGTGGGAAGCAGGGTCGTGGCTCATTCCGCTGGTACGCGACTGTGCCACACAGTAGTCACTTGGTTAGCAGCCTAGCTACCTAGCTAGATACGATTGGGATATGCTTGTAGCCTTGTACATGAATTTAATCTCCCTTGGTGGGGTCGCTTTGATCTAGAATCCCTGGTTGCACCATTCATGTCTGCGCCCGCCTTCGCCGTGGGTCTGTGTTTAGTCCGGCTCTCAGTCTGATCTTCCAGTTGGTCCCATCGTTACCCAAAGAGAGAGGGGAACCTGCAAGCTACCAGGGCTTGTCCTATAGTGTAACTGTGTACTATGCCCTAATGCGACCCAGTCATTATCGTGGCCAGAGGCGAGAAGGAATCCCTGTCCGGACTATCCTATAAATAGCAAAGATGGTCCGAGGTGATTGGGCTTGATCGTGATCACGATAACACGGATGATGAGAAAATAGAATTATCTCGAGAGTGCGACTTAGGTAGCCTAGTAAAGATGACAGCACCACAGGCAGCCATCCAAGGTGCGGAGGGGGATTGTGGAACGCTAAAGGCAGACAAGGCTGGTGAAAAGTGGTGGATGTGTGTGATTTACGGACCGAGATAGCAATCAATGCGCTTCACTATACTTCAAACGGCATAGTCCTTCATTTTCCACAAATTTCCGCCTCAGCCTCTGCGATGGATCTCAACAGCCGCTCTAACCTTTCTTCCAAGGCTTCCTTCCCGGGAGTGAATGTGACTCGGAACCAACCGAGTTCTGGCATTTATACCTTTCCAGGCGCAATCATAACCCCATTCTTCGCACGGATGTCAGCGATGCTCAACGTCAGGCAATGTAACCCTCGACTGCCTGTAGTCTGACTCTGGTGTGACACACTTTCCTAGCAATAGATGGCGAAGGTCAACCCAAACAAACAAGCCGGTATTCCTTTCCACGTATCAGCATAATCAATCTTTTGAGGGGTTCTCAAAAATACCTACGACTCGCAAACCCGATTGTCATGCTCACGGAAGAAGGATGTAGCAATGCGATAGTTAGCCGCCATAAGTCTGGTCTTTCTGTTCGTAATGTTGTCCATCCAAGCCTTGTCCTCGAGCATGGCGGCCCAAACATCCTGAAGAGCGTGTGGCGACCATGAGGATATGCTCAATATCCCACGTCAGGTGTTTGCTTGTCACATAAGCACTATACACATACCTAATGCTCGACATTGGACCTATTGCTGCATGTCAGAGACAACGCAACCCTCTGGGGCCCGTGCTACATCTGGTCCGGCAACTTAAGTTCCCATTGTATGAGCATTCTGGGAAATACTTCTGTTTTGAGTTTTTCGGGCGCGGGCCTGGGGGACTGAATTGGCCTATAGATATGTATACATCTTGGGAATTTGTCGGTTATTGTGTGTGATATGTGAACGAAAGGGTAGAGCGACTTAGGATTTGTTGCTAACCGAGACATTTCCGGGATGCATTATATGTGAAAGTCCTGCCGGAAAGGGATAAATATATGGTCATAGCCATGGTCAAGATTGGAGTCGTCCTAAGTTGGCAGGTCTATATCATAGTCTATGTCTTGAATGTGACACGGCTGTGCGAAAGCTGAAGATTTGATTCAATCACGAATCTAGTTCAATTAGTACATGAGTACCACACGTGGAATCAGAAGAATCTTACCTGAATCGGCCACCAATTTCGCTTTTGCGAGGATCTTATCAAGTGACCCATAGCGCACGGGGATGTGCTGACACAATATTAAGAGAGCCGCCAAACGACAGGATTGACGCAGCACGCGGCCAATGCAATCGCAACAATTGAGCCAGCCTTGCGGTGCAATCTACCCAGTACCAGGAATGTTTCTGGTCCTCGGGGCCTGTCCACCAGAACCTGAGTAGAAGCAAGGCTGCTGCAAGGATTGTGAAATCTCTCAGAATCCGCATCGTACGATGCCTTTGCTCGGACGTAATGTGCCTTTCTCGCGGCAGCACGTCGGTAAATCCCACTTACTAGACCACGATCTTGCTGTCAATCGTAACGCCAAGGACTACAATGGCTTGCAGGATGGGGAGGGTTTTCTCTGAAGATACGACCGCGTGAAGGCCTAGCGTTCCAATACGGGGTATACTGGGTGTATGACGTCGGAAAGGAAACCCGGATAAGTTGGTCTGCTATGGCTCGAGATGGCATAACAAAGGCATCTTGTGAGTTTACTGGCTCTTCGGCCCGATGTGTCTTATCTCAGGATGGCCGATCTGCGATTGAGGGTTTTACCCATCAGCCATTGCATTCCTTGCAAGCCACGCGGATTCGACGAAGCGGCGTGGTTAGAAAACTCGGTCTCTCAGTCGACTGGACCATTGTTCTCGACATTAGAGTATATCCTAATAACAGTCCATGTTGCTCTCAACTCGGCGAGATTTTCAATCCCCCTGCCGTGGGGCTGCGCGAAGTCGACCACGAGGCCGAGGTGACTTTCCCGAATTGCCACGGTTTCTTGGCCGGGTCCACCTAAAGAAACGGGTTGTTATTTTCAAAACTGAGAAATCGAGGATGTCTTGTCTTGATTATATTCCACTGCAGCCTGTGGGATGATGTTCTCTTCCAACTGCAGCGTCGGGGTCGATCTACGATTAGTATAAGACTAGATGACCGCGATAGTGAGATATCGGATCCGGAAGAATCAACATGACATATATACTACACCTAGTAATAGTTCTTGTGATGTTTCCGACAATATCGGCCGCCGTTACCTTCAAAATCAGCATAGCATCAGGCCTAGTACTAACGAAGCCCTCGAACATCGGCACTAGGATTCTTTTTATATTGATCTCTGCAAAGTGGCAGGACGCTACTTCTTGGCATACGCAATATTCCGACCATGCGCGTTGTCAACTGACAGAAACTGCTAGGACACCCCTGGCTTTTACCATCTCTGTCTATATGATGCTTGGCAGCAGGGGATGGGCCCTGAACCAGCGCCTCTAATCTGTCCTGCTATGACTGCCCGGTCTCTTGTCCTCCGAGACATTACCTTCATAGACTACAAATGAGAACGCAGATCCATATGAACCTCTGCGGGTCCCATCCTTAGTGTATGATCCCATTCCCACCATCCACCAACGAACTCGATATGACCCACAGCCGGCGCCTACAACTACGGGGTCAAAGAACCGTCGAAGTCATAATCCCCGTAGGGCACTCATATGAGACGCGATGCCAAGAAGCCAAGGAAGACAGCACGTCTGTAGGCTCACAACTCAACCCACCCCGCATTGCATTCTGTATGGCCCGTTTGGATGGAGGACAAAGTCATACGGAAATGGTGCAAATGCGGGTGGTTGATTTAACTACAAAAGTGAAGGAGGCCCGCTGTCGGCATCTTCTCTTGGTGAATACCATTAGAACAACAATCGCATGCTAGTGCTGTACGTATATTAGCCCCGAGGATATCTGAACTGATCAAGTACTGACAGCCTTGACGACGGACATCCTCCGAATAAAATCATGACTTCCGCTCAGCCCGACAGCTATGCCAAAGGACCAACCCTTGAATCCAACGCACCCATGAACCCAGGCTATCAGTTACCGATCGAGTTACACTGGGTGAACTGGTCGTGGCGCCGTTCGCTGCTATATACGGCTGGTGGGATCCTCATTGGGGCTCTCGTCGGACTTATCGTCGGGTTGATAGTGCGGTTCGCGTGATGGCGTTGACAGTTGATATGGCACATACTGTGTATGATGTGCTTGGTGTTTATACCCCAGACGTGTAAAAATCGCGTTAACATTCTTGTTTCATCGCTATCGTTTCGTTAGCGCCGCATTTCAACTTCTCTATGTACCCGAATCGCTAACGATGCGACCGGTGACTTATACCCGAGGGTCACGACTCCGATCGGACCACGTGGGATCGGTGAGTTTAGACCTTCTATTGAAGCAATTAGCATATTTAGCATTTCTGCCATGATCTAACGTTAAATAGGTTTGAACACCCCAATGATGTAGTAGCAGGTTGAGGTGGAAAATAAATCCGATAGTTGGATTGCCTATTTGGGTAGTACCTTCAACCCAGTGCCAATCTCACCCCAAGAACACGGCGATCAATTACAACATGTACAATAAATCCGGCGATCCACAATATAGTCTGCATTCAGGATAAGCAACCGGGTGGATAGCAAGTATGATCAAGAAACTCGGCGACAAAGAGTCATCAACGGTGTGACGATCCATGACGTTTCGATGTGGTAGTCACCTTAACCAAACGCCCGAACTCAATTGTGACGCCACTTTTGTACTTTATCAGAAGCCATCAGGAACGCAAGAATTGCTTGCGATAGACTTGCCATAGTGTGAGAAAATACCACAATTCTCATTCGTTGTACAGGATACACGAGGATCTACATATAATATATTATTCCACACCTATCCAATGGCATGACACGACACCCACCAGCAATGGCACCCAATTCCTCTCCCTCGACAACCGACCTCCTGATCATCGGCGCCGGCCCAGCCGGCCTCATGGCGGCCTGCTGGGCCTCACAATACACGAACATGACCACCCGAATCATCGACAAGTACCCCAGCCGAACAGCGACCGGACACGCAGACGGGATACAGAGCCGAACACTCGAGATTTTAGAGAGTTTCGGGGTAGTTGATCCGATAATACGGAAAGGTGTGCAGCATGCCGAGATGTGTTTCTGGGTAAATAAACTATTAATTCTTATATACTATATCGCATTCAGCTTTATCTCCAGTTCAGATCCTCGTGGGGAAATAGAGCACAGCAACTAATTCGGGCGCTGTGTAGGGCTATGATAAACATACGGGCGGGATAACGAGGCACAAGATGCACTCGGCTCAAACGGATAAGTCGAGGTATAATATGGTGTTGCTGAATCAGGGGATCATTGAGCAGATTATTTTGGATTATTTGGGGTTAGAGCAGGGGGGGAGGATGAAGGTGGAGTATGGGAAACAGGCGGAGACGTTGGAGCTGCTAGAGGAAGGGGAGGATGAGTATCCGGTCATCGTGGGGGTGAAGAGGGTTGGGCAGAATGGTATGGTTAATCTTGGTTCTGATGGTGGTTGCATGCTGACTTGGATGATGTTCTAGGGGCTAATGGGCATTTCAGTGACCTTGAAACCATTCGCGCTCGGTATGTTATCGGTTGCGACGGTGCGAGGAGCTGGACAAGAGAGCAACTGCAGGTCCCGATGCGAGTGTGCTCTGGAGATACCACTTGGGGGGTTGTGGACATCGCCCCGATCACTGATTTCCGTAAGTTTGGTCAGTTGGTACATTTGCTCGCTTGATTGACAGGTTTCAGCGGATATTCGTCAGTCCTGTGCAATACATGCCGGAGACCGTGGCAGCATCATGACGGCACCTAGGGAGAATCGGCTAGTTCGCTTTTACATCTATCCCAAAGGCGATGGGAGGTTGAGTGTGGAGGGCAAAGACCGATCGGAAGTATCACTTGATGAAATTGTGGGAGCCATGGCGAAAGTCATGAAGCCCTACTCTTTGACTTATAAGCACTGCGACTGGTGGTCCATCTACAAGGTAAGTATTAAACGAAGGCAGGCGGCCGTAGCTGACTAGGGATAGATAGGTCAACGTTTAGTGGAGACGTACAGGCCGCACAACAGGTTGGTAAATTCTCTCGTTGACCGAATCATACACTAATAACGACAGAATCTTCCTGGCTGGAGATGCAGCACATACACACTCGCCCAAGGGAGGTCAGGGTCTGAACGTGTCAATGCAGGATACTTACAACTTAACATGGAAGCTATGCTCTGTTATTACAGGAGAAGCTTCCCCGAGCATACTCGATACATACGAATTAGAACGACGACCAGTCGGCGAGGAGCTGCTCAAGCTGGATACTGAGTTAGTTCAAGCGTACGAGCAAGACACGAGCGTGACCGAAGGAGTGGAGCGCGTTCGTGGCCAGTACATCGACTTCATGACGGGAACGGGGGTGACATATGGTCCAAACGAGTTGATTGCCGGAAAGAAGGCAGATACCTCGGTCGCAAAGAATATCACGATCGGTATGCGCCTGTCATCGTATCCAGTCGTGGGCCAGGCCGACGGGATCAGCATGCAGCTGGTTAGCAGGTTGACCAGTAACGCAGCATGGAGGCTGCTCGTATTCCCAGGCGACCTGCGTGAACCTCGCAACCAGAGTCAGCTGGCTAGTTTTGCGAACCGATTCAACAAGCAGCCTCATCTGCCATGTCTGCACAAAGACCTAAAGTCGAACCGGTGTTGCCCCCTTCTCGAGACGATTGTGGTGCATTCCAGCCCGAGGACTTCCGTGAACCTTCTGGACCTACCGGATATATTCCATCCATTCGATGAGATGTGGGGATGGGATTACTCGAGGGTGTTTGCGGACGACGGCTCATACGGTGAAGCTTGTGGCCATGCCTATGAAAGGTACGGCATACGAGAAGAGACTGGGTGTCTGGTCCTCTGCCGTCCGGATCAACATGTTGCCTGGTTAGGGTGTTTAGGAGATGTGGAAGCATTGGACCAGTATTTTGGTCAATTCGTCCGGAGCAAGTTGATTTGATTGGGTTCTGTTTCTATTCAGTACTATTTGGTCAAACGCGACCGGTGAAATGGGGTGGAGGGGGGGCATTTTAGTGATGGCATTCCGAGCGTTACACGGATACTTCTCTGGTTGTAGCATCCATGTCTGATACAGAGGCACGATAGAGAGACTATAGAAAAGACTTAGCACCAGACCATTTATGCGACACAAATTAGCAATAATTACTGACAGAAAAATTATGTACTTTGCACATGCTCTCCCCAACATAGCGCACACATGGTCAGTGGCCAGAGCTCAACGGCAGCATAATCGCACAGACCGGGGATCACCCGTGGGCAACGGCTCTCTCGTCCCGTATTCCGGCAGAAGGGCCCTGCCAGTCAGAAGTCCCAGAGACCCTCTGGATGGATGACAGGGAAGTTGTGGAACCAATACTCAAATTGGCTTTCAGACCCAGGGGACGGAGGAAGCAGCTTGATTGGGAGGGGATATTGATGAGGTAATGGTGATGTTCATCGGTGATGTCATGAGAGTAACAGTCGTGGAGAATTGTTTTGATGCGAGGCCCATAACAGTATCCCTCTAAGAATCCAACAGACAACACCACCGCTGAGAGGGAGTGAGGCTTTGTACGCGGGTCAGGTCCACCTTTTCCTCCAGAGTGAGGCTGCCCCACAGCTTATCTGTGCTATCTTGGAGGCCCTGGCCAGACCGAACGGACCTCATCTCGACTTGTCCAGCAACGACAAGGGTTGTCTCCATCTCTTCCATTATAGGGCAATTGCACGGAAGGAGATCATATTGACACATTATCTACTGTACACAGTATGTGATCGATCACTAACCCCGCCATTCATCCACCAGTGTCAAGCACAGTGCCACCGTACAACTACCGACCGAACCCAGACTATCCACAATGAAACACCACCATCACAATGACCACATCCAACCTTCCAGACTTTTCTCGAGAATCTCAATAAAGAGAGAAGTACCCGTATTACCTCCATCCCAGAAATAACAATGTTCCCACAACATGATGCTGAATGACTTCACAACCAACAATTGTACCTTGTCCCTGCCTTACCCAAAGTAGGTACATGACCATGTAGACCACATGCAGCCAGGACCCTGGAGAAATGCCCAAAACTTGAATCGAGGTTAACCATACCATGTTCACCACAATCACGATCATGGTTACTGCATCAACATTGACATCAGTACGTAGTCATTGGTAACATCTATAGTTAGACACCAGCATCATTATCCACAGTCCGAAAGACCTACAAATAGCCTACCTTAACCCTGGAACTTACTCTCCCATCTTAATCAACAAGCATCTATCTCTAAACAATACTACCTATACTCTACGCACAATCATCATCAAAATGGCCTCCAACCCCAACCCCGGCAACTTCGCCAACCGCCCCCAGGAAGAAGTCGAAAACATCGCCCGCAAGGGTGGCCAGTCCAGCCACTCGGGCGGATTCGCCTCCATGGACGAGGACAAGCAGGTACATTGATCCCACTCCCTTCTTTTACTCCATCATGAGCGAGAGCATAGTACTAATCGAAGTGGTGACAGCGCAACATCGCCTCCATGGGCGGCCAAGCCTCCAGTGGAAGCTTCCAGCCCGGCGAAGAACGGGCCCGGGAAGCCGGCCACAAGGGAGGCATGTCATCTGGAGGGAGCTTCGAGCCTGGAGATCCTCGGGCTAGAGAGGCTGGTAGGAAGGGAGGATCGAGAACTGGGGGGGATATGCCGGAGGAGTAAATCTACTCGTACTACTAAGTACTATAACATTATGATCGGACTTGTTAGGGAAGAGTTTTTATGTGATATCAATTGAATGTATTATTAGTCAAGTATGGGGATAAATTGTATTCAGTGTGGCATTGATGAATTGGATTATTATTATTGCATTGCTATTGATAATAGAGTTTCGGAGACTAGTACAAGCAGTACAGTAGTACTACTATTTGTAGGTTGTAAAGTACGATTGGATGGCGAATATTTTCGAAGGTCAATTGAGTAAGTGGTGGCCCCGTGGCTAATACTATTGGCCATTCGACCCGTTATTGACGATCATGACGACAGTGGATATATTGAATCGACTCAGCTTTAATGAATTACTTGCAAGCATGAAGTGATGGAAGTAGTTGGATTGAAGTTTACTTTTGCGCCCCGTTAAACCCCGCTCGCCACATTAGAAACAGAAACATCGCTAGCACGCTAGCTTCCGCCATCATCATCAATCGTATCTACCATCTAGCTCGTACACAGTACTTTTCCATCGCCGTGAACAAGTATCTTTGAGAAAGTCCCGAGGAGAGAAAGGTAGAGAGGTAAAAAGGAGTAAGGGAAGAGACAAAAGACATTAGAAAGGGTTAAGAGATAGGGACGTAGGAAGGGGAAAGGGAACCAAAAATATCCACAACGCCTCATCATATAGACATTAATCAAATCATCGCAGGCCATCATGTACAGGCCATTGACAAGCTCCGAATTAGACATTCACTCCGTATCTTTTTGCCCCTCTGTTGCTGAGCTGTCCCCAGCAGCCGGGA